ATCCGGTTATCAATCTTAAGACGGAATTAGCCAGAAGCATGCAGTTTCTCGTTCCAACTTGGTCATCACATAGCCATAGGCAGATTCATACTGAGGACGGAAGTCTACCTGTGAGCCAAAGCGATTATTGAATTGCCCTACAGCAAAATATTCCTGCCAATAGCCACAATTTTATCGACGATAGTAGGCTTGTTGAACGTCGTCATCCAATGCATCAGCCTTAACCTGCACATCGCTCGTCGGCACAGATTTGTCAACCGTTTAGTTCATAAACGTGTTCATAACCTATCCCAGTAAGACTTCCTTAGTGGTAGCGTCCAAGCTGTTAAATAGGACATCAGATAAAATGCGCAAAGTAACCATTTAACCTCGGAAACTGGACTACTTACAGTTTCTTTATCATTAAAAAGGCGTTTTTTAAGCCGGCAAGCTATGAATAATGCTCTGTGGGGACCAGCAAGCCCCCATAATGAATTTTTATCAGTTTTGGCAAGTGTCATTGCTTTTCGTTTGCCTTAAGTCTGTCCAATTATCTCACAGACGTTTCGTTTGACTATCAGGTCCTATGGCAAATATAATTCCAGATGGTCAAGAACCACACAATTTCCTACTTTTGCCAACCTCGAAACATTGGCTCGCCAGAAAAAAAATAGACATCCGCGAACTGTACTTACCCCGTAAAAATCAAGCAGACGCACCTTACAAACCCTCCCTCGCCTCTAATGCGACGAAACATGTGTTTTTAAGCATAAGAGGTGCTCTAGAAACGACTTCGGGTTCGTTTCGGTTAACTATATAGATATGCATCTACTGTGCATACCTGCGGACCATCCTTCGAGTGAAGTATACCGACTTCCTTTCAAGTGAGGCAATCCGCACTCTCTGTGACAATACCGCTTGGATATCGTAGGCCATCCAAGAAATACGCCTGATGCAGTTTGAGCACGTTATCGGTCGTCCCCTCGATCCCACGCCGCAGCACACCCGGAGTCGTCGAAGAGGAGGACAATTCAAGACCTGACTCGACACCTTTCATCAGGACACGTAAGCCGTTTCTGGGCCTTCAGATTTCGGTCTCCGTCACCGGAGAATAAAAT